GCTGGTCCGTTGCCATCGGTGTCTGCACATTGAATACTTGGTTGCTCAACCATATTGAACGGAAGATACAAGCAATGTAATCGTCACTGAGTCCGCTGCGTAGTGTCAGTAGTATGCGATGTTTCCAGATTCTGGAACTGTTGTAGGTAGCTGAATGAGTGATGGCCGGTCTTTTGTCAAGCGCGGGTCGGTGATTTCGGTGATCTCGCCACGAGGCTTCCGCGGCATATCCGCCAGCCTTTCTATATCTCACTATGACAGCATAGCCACACTGCGAGGCATCGCACATTGCACCTCATACAAGCTCGAATCATCAGACTTGCGCGTGTCGTCTGTCAGGTAGAACGATGGTGTATTGATGGAGGCCTCGCAACATGAAACGGTTTTGGGTGGGTGTCGGCCTCGGGCTGGAGCCGGTCACCCACACGGAGGTCGATGGCAGCTGTGCGCACATGCAGCCTCTCTACCCTCGACGTCCAGCTCCAACACGAACCTACTTTTGGACGTCCATTAGATGCAGATGTCAGACATCCTGTACGCGTCCATAATGGAATTCTCAACGTCGTCCAAGGCATCACAAGCGCCAATTGCTGCGGTGACTTCGATCGCATTGTGGCCACCGTTAGTGGAAGCTGCCGCATATCTATCAACGATGGCTGGAAAACAGAGCTGGTCAACAACACCAGCGTGCCAACCACCGCCTCCCATACCTTGGAAGCGTCCATTCCAGTCTTCCGGCAGCCATACTTAAAGATTGGCCGTATCGTTCTGACCAGGACGGTTACAGGTCATCTCTACACGACGGTAGGAGATGTTATAAGGTGAGAAACCAAGAAGCGGCACAAGTTGTTCAACTGGGATCGGCGAGCTTGCTAGTGTCCGTTACGTCTTGAGCTTTGCCGTAGAGTTTGTACCCGTAGTGCCGTGAAGATAGGGCTGTTGGAGGCTCGAACAAGCCGATGCGCCTGTTGCGGGTGCCTTCAGAAGCTGAGATCAAGTCCAATAGGTTACGGCCAGGCAATTGAACTTGACATACCTGAAGCTAAATGCATCGTATAGATGAGAGGATAGAGCCAGTGCTAGAGATGCGTTTGGTGCTCGACGCAAGGGTTGATTCGCTCTTATATGCACACAGCCCTAGGTGATGGCTGCGAGAACATCGTTTATATGACAATATGTTCAAGGGGGGTCGCAAAAGGCTTCGGGTCTGTAATGCCATATCTTCTTCTCTTAGGTTGTATTATCGACGTGGCAGAGACCATTGTACATCAAGGCGGACAAGCGAACGAGTCAACAGATAACCAGCGAGTGGCAATGCAGAGAGCTATTTGCTTCTTTTGTCGAGTTCAGTTACGCGGCATATTGGCTAGTACCCTTGCATCTGGATTGAGTACGTCTACTTCGCTAGTGTCGGCACGGAACATGGAGTTCTTCGGTTCCGCTGAACGAGTAAACGAGTACCCTCAGCCACTTGATCGGCAAACTTAGCGTCACTCTACCAAATTAAGCTTCTGGCGCAATCAACTCTGCCCCCGTCGTACATCTCAAGGTCTAAATCATGCTGGTGCACTCACAAACGACCTCAAGCCCTGCATGTTTACAAACGCAACTTCATCCATTGATAGAGGTGCATCATGCGCGAACCTCGAGAGCCCGCCCGAAAGCCAATAAAGCGATACCATAGGAAGTCCAGGGCTGGATGCGACACGTGCAAGCGACGGCGTGTCAAATGTGACGAAGCTACACCAACATGTGGAGCGTGTGCTCAACGACAAGATCGATGCATCTACCAAAACCCAACTGTTGCGACTACTGGATCTAGGAATTTGGCCAAGACATCCTCAACCACAGCAAGGTCATCATCAGCATCATCCACATCATCCTCCTCCTCTTCATCATCATCATCGCCTCCGTCGATCACATCCCCATTGTGTCCACTGCACAATACATACCGTGGCTCTTCCTTACGACTGGTCACTTACAATGCCACCCGGATGAGAGAAATGCAACTCATGCACCAATGGTCCACAGTCACATATCGTACTTCTGGTCCTCGCAACATGGAGCTCTTTCGCGACTACACAGTTGAGCAAGCTCTGCAACACACTTATCTAATGGATATCGTTCTCGCATTTACGTCCCTGCACAGCGCGAGCAATGCATCAGAGGCCAGCGCTGTACACGAGCATGTCGCCGCCGCCCTCCACTACCAAAATCGAAGTATAACCGAGTTCAACGAAACACAGTCGCTCGTCAAGATATCGGAAGAGAGCTTCGATCCTGTTTGCCTCATGACTTCTCTCCACACAGTGGCCACACTGGTTGCAGCTCTGACACCTGCAACTCCGGGCGAGCAGTTGGAACCAATAGTCGAAATAGTAAAGCGTGTCAGGACGTACGCGCTATGCTTGATGGACATGGTTAAAGGGCATCGCGTCTGGGCTGAAAAAAGTGAGCTTAAACGAATTACCGACAGCCCTACTGTACTACGAATCGAGGAAGGCCATTCGTTCTCGGCGGACCAGATGCGGGAGTTGACTGATGCTATACTGGCGAATATCGATCTTGACGATAGTGAGACCCCATTCTTCCGTACTACACTAGAGCAACTGGAGAAGTCATACGCTAATAACAATGGGCGTTCGGTCATCTCTTGGTTGGTGTTGGTGGAGCCTATTTTCTTTCAGAAAGCTGAATTGGGAGAAACTGCAGCTTTGGTAATATTGGCATGCTGGGGTACACTCAGTGTTATTCTGGAGGATATATGGTGGTCAAAGTATGCTGGCCGGAGAATTGTGGAGGAACTTTCTTCCCAGCTCAATGGCTGTGATAGCCGCTGGAATGGAATCATGCAATGGTGTTACAAGCAAGCAAGAATACATGGGTTGTAGATACGACGACATAGAATATCATAGGCTAGAAGGCGTTTAATGGATAAATAATCGCGGCTTCTTCTCACTTGGTATCTCATGAAGCACACATACATGAAAACGAGAATGAGATAGTTTGATACATTCTCGTTTATTCGTTCCTGTTGACCTATTGTCTCCCAGTTCAGCCTCAGGGGCATACAGCCTTGGCATTCCCTACCACCATTACAATTTTGTTTCACACGCTAATCTACTCAGCCACCCATGGCTTGAATACACTCATACTCTGGTCCTGTCTAAGCCTCAAAATCTGCGCATAATTCTCGTTCTTTCGTATAGTCCTTGGCTCGAAATGTATATATACCAATCTGCTCCTTACAGATAATATAGCAGACACTAGATGCATCAGTTTCACGCTCCCCACCCGCAACCCTAGATCCTCCACGAGCAACTTCTATTCCTCATCGAACAACTTACCGGCTTTCCTTCACAGTATTTCTTACATACTCCCCTAAACCTCAAGCATTATCTACGACTACAATGGTAGACCACGAATCATCTCTCTATCCATACTCCCCTTCAAAGCCCGCGGCCATTTTCAGCATGGTGATTTTTTTAATCCTACTTCTGATACATTTTGTAAAATTGTCCAAGACCAAGACGTGGTTCGCTGTGCCCCTCGTCATTGGCGCCGTCTGTAAGTTGCTCCTCCTTTTGCAATAGCCCAGAGGAGAATGCACAGTCTATTGTCAGCAATTACAAGAACTTGACTGACACCTCCCAAGTTGAGTCTTTAGGCTACGCAGCCCGTGCATACGGCCACTCGCATCCCTCCTCAAAGAACGCGTACATCGTCCAAACCATGCTCATCCTACTCGCACCCATACTCTTTGCAGCAACAATCTACATGTTCATGGGCCGCCTCGTGCTCGCATCTGGACACACCAAAGCCTCCATCATCCGGCCGACGTGGCTGACAAAGATCTTTCTCGGTGGCGATATATTGTGTTTCCTGGTGCAAGCGGCAGGCGCTAGTTTTCTGGTGAAGACTGATGCTTCGCAGTCGACAAAGAATCTGGGCAAGTACATCATACTTGCTGGTTTGGTCATACAACTCATCGTGTTTGGGTTCTTCTTGGTTGTTGCCGCTATTTTCCACCTGAGAGCCGGGAAGGCTGAGAGGTTGGAAATTGGAACAGTTAAGATGTTCAACTGGCAGAAGTACATGGTCACGCTGTACATTGTTAGTGGTTTGGTAACAGTACGAAACATATTCCGCGTTGCTGAGTACGTCACGGGTGGTGAGTGTATTCCTTGCCTATCTGTTAATTTCAACTGACCGAAAGCAGACCAGGGATATCTCTTGACACACGAATGGCCGATATACATCTTCGATGCACTGCTCATGGCTGCTGCACTCGCGAGTTGCACGTCCTGGTACGTTGGTGACATCGTACAGAAAGCCTTCAATGGCGATGAAGAAGATAGCGGTGTGACAGCGATTGCCATGTTTGCTCTCAACATAGCAACCGCGATGGGTAAAAACACCCCTCTGATTCAGACAACCACCTCCCGAAAACCCGAGTAGATATGTCTCGATAATCTACACTTAGTCATACAAAAATGCTAGGACGTGTAGCCTAATGGTAAGGCACTCGCACCCAATAGCCACCAATCGGACATGCTGTGTGAACTTGCCACCAGCACCGGTTCTGCGATCTACCGAGGTCGACGTGTGAGCACAGGAGTAACGAACTACAAACACCTGTGTGGGTCATGTGAGGGATCCATGTTCAAATCATGGCATGTCCAATCTCTTTTCTCTTTTTTCTCTACCTTTTCCTTTTTGGTTGATCGAAGGGAACGTGCATGCGTTGTTTACGGGAATGTGCGTGCTGGGTGCTATAGACTGGGGGTTATATAGAATGTCACTGGTATTTGTAAGTTCATGATCGTGGTATTGAGGTACGTACTTCATTGGATACGATGCTATCGTCAACTCCATCTAGCATATCCGGAGACGTCAAGTCTACCAACCTAAATCATACATCCTCATCTACATCCATCTCAACACCATCAACACCTTGCTAAATGCCACAACCGCTACTCATACACCCTATCTATCACTATCTACATATCCTTTGTCAAATCGTAAATCTTCTGAATCTCCTTAAGCTGCCCCTCATGGTCAAACTTGAGATCCTTCAGCAGTCCATCCTCGAATCCAAATACCCAGCCATGCACAACTGGGAACTCATTCTCCGCCCAACACTGCTGCACAGCCGCCGTCTTGATAACATTTCGGCACTGCTCATACACATTGAGCTCAACAAGCTTGTTGTACTTGTCGTCCTCGGAGCCACCATTGGCGACGACGTCGTCGAGCTCCTTTTGGTGCAACCGGTAGACATCACGGATGTTTCGCAGCCATGGGTTCAGCAGACCCATGTCCTTTGGTGTCATGGCAGCCTTGACACCGCCGCAGCCGTAGTGGCCGCAGACGACAATGTGCTTGACCTTGAGGTGGCGCACGGCGTAGTTTACGACGGACATGACGTTTAGGTCGATGTTGTTGACGAGGTTGGCGATGTTACGGTGGATGAACATCTCGCCTGGCTCAAGACCGGTGATGGCTTCGGCGGGGATGCGGGAGTCAGAGCAGCCTGTAGGTGATGGATTAGCAACTACGTCTATGATGGATTGAGTCATTCCAGTATAGCCGTGTAGAACTCACCAATCCACAGATACTCGGGGGCCTGTCCGGCAGTCAGGTTGCTGAAGAAGGAGGGGTTCCTCTTCCTCATCTCATCGGCCCATTTCTTGTTGTTCTCAAAGATACGGTCATGACTCTGCTGGAGGTACTTGCGCACTTCCTTGGGCTCTTCCTTTCCAGTCATTCTGGGCCACGAAAAGTGTCTTTTGGCGCTAATTGGTTGTTGTGCTGTGGCTGTTTGCAAAAGCGGTGATGCTGCTGGTCCAGTAGAGCAGAATCGCAACGAAGTCCGGTTAAGTGAAAGAGAAGTACGCTGCAGCGGCGTTGAGCTTGATAAGAGTCGAGCTGCGGGAGCGAAGGAGAGCTGCCCCGCTGCGACTAGCTCTCGGAGAGCGTGGGGTAACCGGTGCGGCATGACAGGACAACAAGAAAAAAAAGATGGTGCAAAAGAGGTAAAACGCCAATGACAATGCTGCGGGCAGTTTCGGTTCTAGGAGAGAGGGGACGCGAAACGGATAATGCTCGAATTATTTTGCTTCTCCTGCGCGCCGATTGGGCGCTCTGACGTCAAAGGATTGGCTAAAGGATCAAGGACCCTGGTTGCAGATCAGCGGACGATGGGTCTAGCGGAGACATCTGAGTAAAACATCGAGACTGCAGCCTCATTAATATCTCACCAAAGCCCAAGAATTGTCTGTTGCATTGAGCCTTTTAGGTGCTAAACGGCGGCTGTCGGTCGGACACACAACACAATGCTTCTTGACGACGCCAAGAGGTCCATCATATCGCGCCATGCCGACCATCTATTGAGCACAAGGCCTTGGCCAAAGACGATCTGCCCCTCCGAGATTGCCCGCGCGTTATCAACAGAGGAGCTGCGTACACTAGATGCGTCAGTGTGGAGGGACACCATGGGTCATATACGACAGATAATGTGGGAGAGGAGAGAGGCAGGACAAGTCGAAGTGATGCAGAAGGGCCAAGTGGTGGACGTGGAGAGCTTGGAGGATATCAGAGGACCGATAAGAGTGAGAAACGTAAGAGGATAATACAACATCAGCAAATGCTCTAACTGCTGTTGCGGATTACAACATGTATAGTAATTTCGATGCAATACAGGAAACGATTAGTCGTTCTAACTGGCCCGATATGCTAACCTTGAGAGAACCGCGTCCCCAACAGACTCCAATAAACTCCGATATACTCCAATATATGCATGCATCCAAACCTTCGTGACATTTCAAATTTCAAGTCTCGGGATGCTTGGCGCCGCTAGCATCAAGACCCTGCCACTTCTCCTCATCCCATCCCATACTGGGATCTGTCGCATTACCCGCTTTGCCTTCCTCGGTAAGATTCTTGATGTCGCTCCAGTACTCGAGCTTCTTGCACTCGTTATCAGCTGCCTCGATGGCCTTGAGTAGGTTATTGATCCTGCGTTCTTCGGCTTCCCCTTCCGGCTTCGAGTCTTTCTTGTGTTGTTCACGGTGGTCTTTGGCGGCTTCGAAGCGGTCCATAAGTGTGGAGAGGAGTTGGCGACGGGAATTCTGGAAGATAAGCATCGACATGATGGACGGTATCTGGGCATGTTAGTTATGTTGGAGGCATAGGGATGCCATATGCATACCTGTCCTGCAAGGTAGTGCAGTTCCTCGCCCCCATCGTCGATGAATTTGTGTATGTAGATTATCTTCTCTCGGTCGATAGCAGCTTTCTTCAATTTCCTCATGAGTGTGGCAATATCCCTGATTTCCTCGTCCAGACTTGTCTGGGCACTGTCTAGCAAGCCGCTGTTGGTACCAAAGGTCGTCGACCTGACCAATGTAGTGCCGATGCTGAAGGTTTCGCCAAACATGCGCTCCTTTGCGTTCTCCTTGGTCTTGGGTGGTAGCCTCTGCTTCACCCGTCTCCGTAGCCAGCGTCGCCGCCGAACGAAGCTGTGGAACCAAGGGTGGTTGCCGTGCCAGGCTGAGCCTTTGAACAGCAGACTGTACTGCCAACCCTCTTCATCGACATCCAGACTCATGTCGACATACCAGCTGTTCCAGTCCCATACCCAACTTGGATCTGGAACTTGTGCATTTGTGATATTGACGGCGGATGGCCTGAACTTGGCATCCTGCCAGGGCGCAGGGTCGATTCGTAGGTTCCACAGCGCCTTGTTCGAGAATAGCGGTATGCCGAATATGAACCAACCGCGCTGGTTCTCATAAAGGATATCGATGTGCGAGTCTGATGAGGTCGATGGCTGTTCAGGTTGTGCAGCCGTAGTAGGCGTGTTGTCGCCGTTGGACGTGTGGTCGACGAGGCTTATCGTTTGGTCCGCCATGCTGCAGAGCGTGGCGTAAGAATCAAGGAAAGTAAGAGGCGAACGCCGTTGCTATCGTAGATACATGAGGTCGTGGTTAGGCAGGCGCGGCACGCTGCACAGGTAGTCGGCAGTCGCTGGAGGGTGGCTGTTAAGGGGCGCGCACAGAAGACTACACACTTGGACGACGCGACCGCAATGCGACAAACTATACAAATAAGATTAATGCTACAATGAGATTACAATTAGTGTGTAGAAGCAAGAACAACGAGTGTGTGTAATGTGGATCCGGCCTGTCATTCATCGTAGAGTCAGCTAGTTTGGCGATCTGGTTCGCACGGCAGCGAAAAGCCCGTGCTTCAGCTGTCTACCATTACGTCACACATGCGCTTGTTAGAAAGACGCCTTCCAAGGTTCCCCTCCCTCGCACAACTCTGCTTTCTTCATCTTCAATTCGCATTTTACATAGCTTGATCATTCTTCAAGTCTAACCAACCAACACCACAAACCCCCCATCCCATCAACAATGTCTCGTCGTTTTGCTACATACGGTGGTGTCGCTGCTCTTGGTGGTGTGACCTACTACCTCTACAATGCTGGAGGTGACCCGAAGCTTGCCGAGAAGAAGGCTGAGCGTAAGTTCTGCAGAGGTCAATTGCCTGGTTTATCAACTAACAGCTGCAGACGATGCTGCGACTGCCGCACGCAAGCTAAGAGGCGACTACCCTGGCCAGGACAAGGAAGCAAAGAAGGCTGGCGAGGAGGGCTACGAGGCAGTCCGCGCCAGCGCACAGCAATACGTATGTTCAATGCGATTCCATCCATGTTACTTGTGGCAGTATACTGACCATGGCTAGGCCGACCAAGCCAAGGCGGAAGCAAAGAAGGCTGAGCAAAAGTTCGATGCCTACAGCGCCGATGCGAAGAAGCAGTATGAAGAGGCAAAGGCCCGCGCCGAGCGTGAGCTACACGCAGCAGGCAAGCAGGTCAACGCTGCTGCCAACAAGTTCGATGCCGTTGTCGAGGACAAGGCCGCGAAGACGTCGTCATGGTTCGGCGGACTGTTTGGTGGAAAGTAAGCTCGAAGTGTACAGGACCAGTAATGTAATGATAATGTAACAAGATGAGCCGAAGCTTGTTGTCGAAAGTCTTGCATGGCATTGGAGTATATAGGCGCAGGGCTTTTTGTCTCAATAAGATATGATACTCACGTTCGCTCTCTTGCAAGTCACGTCTCTGTCGTTAGCGTGCAAAGCTTGGACGGCATCATGACAAGGCGCAAAGTCGTCGTTTGTGGGTGGACGAATTTCACAGAGAGATGTCGAAATGACGAAAGCGTAATGAGTGGTGGAGACATGCCGGATGCGCGGGGCAACGACACGCTCAAGTTTCAATTAAGTGGGGCGAAAACGCGACGCGAACGCGCAGAAGCGTAAAGCGCGTCGGACGTGCCTTCCCTTCCCTGTTTTGCACCCCCCTCGGCTCATAAACACTCCTTTGAACCTCATCCTCACACCCACACGACACATCACTTATCGACATTGTTCCAGATATCTCATCTTTGTATCAATCAGAAATATCGTCAACAACAATGTCGCCTATTGCTCCCGGTCAGCTCCCGGCCGAGCTCGTCAACCTTCTCGCACTACACTCATCATTCCTAACGGCGCTGTCGCTGCATTATGCCCACAATGGCACTTCGACGCCTGCCGATCTTCGAGACCTGATTGCATCGACCACTTTGGTCTGGCGGCAACGCAAGGTCACGTACGATGACATTCGACTCCTCATTGGTATTCTCGACCACGGTCCCTCCGGCAACAACAACCCTTACTACCTATCCGACTATGGCCGCGGCAAAATCTGCATTGAAATCAAGGACAGCAGTCCTATGATGAATGGCATGACACATATGAATGAACAAGGGCTGCAAGAAATGTTCAAGGAAGGATTAGACACGTTGTGGTCGCAATGGTGCACGTCGCAGATGATGATGGCCCGGCCAATTGCGGTGCCCAAGCGCGGACGCGGACGCCCGAAGAAGGCCGACATCAAGCAAGCATGCATGGACACATTCCTCGATGACACCTCCGTGTCCAAGTTCCTCAGCCAGCTTCCTCTCGCCCAAGTCACCACATGCGAATCGCTCACCGCGCTTGCACCAGCACAAGAGAAGGGACGCAAGAGGTTGCGGGAGTTCAAGGAGAGCGTACAGCAAGGTCGTGCGCTGAAGAAGACAAGGTCCACCATCGGAAAGGAGAACGACCTCTCCTTGGGACAGAACCAGCAAGCCCAACCCGCCCAGCCCAAGATTACTGAATTTGCTGCCGTTCGCAAAACCAACCTCCTTGACCGTATTCTCGCCAAGCAGGAGGCTGCAAAGGCTGGCCCCGCAGCACCAACACCCGCTGAGCTTCAGAGAAAAGCAGCTCTCCAGCGCACTCCAGAAGTCATTGGTGTACTTTCTCTACTCTGCGCGAACAGACCCGGATCGCGCGTTTCGTTCTCGACAACCACCCTTTTGCAGGCGATACAGGGCTCTATTCGATCTCCAATCTCAAAGGAAGAGGCGATGAAGTGCGTGGAAGTTTTAGCAAGCGAAGTTGCCCCAGGATACGTCTCGGTCGTCAGTATGGGCAGTATCTCGAGTGTCGTCATCAACCAGATGATGAGACCTACGGATATCAAGAGCAGGCTTATTGCGCTGGGCGCTTGAAGACCTATTTTTTCTGTTCAGATTATTACCCTTTAACCTTTTTGTTGTAAGTTGATGACCTCATTCGGAGTCACTTGGCCAGCGTTTGTTTATTACATCATCTTAGCGAGCGTAGTTTCGTTCTTGCGCTGTACAGTATCTTAGCCCTATAGCATATTCT